TAGATAGATAGATAGATAGATAGATAGATAGATAGATAGATAGATAGATAGATAGATAGAGACTGATAGTGGGTCATGCAATCCTGGCACTATCTTGAAACATGGAGAGGGTTACAGTAAACAAAGAATCTGGACTTCCAGGCATCAATGATCCGGAACTATATATACAGTACATATATCTATCTATCTATCTATCTATCTATCTATCTATCTATCTATCTATCTATCTATCTATCTTTGCCTGGCAGCATCTCGAAGCTTGGGCAGATGGACAGGGTTACAGTAAGCCAAGAACCTGGACTCCAAATCACTGATCTGGTTATGTATAATTGAAGTATGGACAGTGTAACAGTAAACTAAGAATCTTCCAGTGGCCACTGAGATATTTATATACAGTATTAGGCCAGACATTCCTGGTGTATCTTGAAGCATGGCCATGGTTACAGTAATAATGTGGACTTCCACTTGTCACTTTGTATTTACAAATCTCTATTTGTAGATTGAATGTAGATCTGCGATTATTCTGCTCCCCTGACACTACAATGTATATAAATAGTCTGTATGCAGTTACATTGTATCCATCTGCATGCTGTGGAAGGGGCACAGAGGATCTGGGGGACCATGAAGATTGTATCCTTCTGTCTGCCTGCTGTGGAAGGGGCACAGAGGATCTGGGGGACCAGGAAGATTGTACCCATCTGCATGCTATGGATGGGGCACAGAGAATCTGGGGAACCAGGAAGATTGCATCCGTCTGCATGCTGTGGATGGGGCACAGAGAATCTGGGGGACCAGGAAGATTGTATCCATCTGCATGCTATGGATGGGGCACAGAGAATCTGGGGAACCAGGAAGATTGCATCCGTCTGCATGCTGTGGAAGGGCCACAGAGGATCTGGGGAACCAGGAAGATTGCATCCGTCTGCATACTATCGATGGGGCACAGAGAATCTGGGGGACCAGGAAGATTGTATCCATCTGCATGCTATGGATGGGGCACATAGAATCTGGGGGATGAGGAAGATTGTATCCATTTGCATGCTATGGATGGGGCACACAGGATCTGGGGGACCAGGAGAATTGTATCCATCTGCATGCTGTGGAAGGGGCACAGAGGATCTGGAGGAGCAGCTTGTGCCTGCACTTTGATTGACAGCACAAGCTTCGCCACTGCCCCAGCAGGCGTACCCCCCACATGGTGCATTAACCCCTTCCCTGACCATGAGGGTAAATTGCCGAATAAATCCATGAATCTCAGAAAACGCTGATGATGATTAGTAGAAAAAGAACAGACAATGCCATTCCATATACAATGCATAGCGATGGGCAGCGATCAGAGCAATGTGTCTGCGGTGTCGCCCTGATGCCACCCAGCCCGGTGTGGTGCTGAACACTCACCCGCACTCATGCTGTACGCCCGCCTCCGGCTTCCATCCGATGCCAGGTAATCAGATGATCTCCTTTACCTGCTACGCATCAAGACCGCGGTGACAACCCGGGCTGGGGACACAGCTGCTCTCATGCGGGGGTCTCTAGTCCATCCAGACGGAGGCGGCAGTGTGCAGTGCTCGGAGCGCAGGCAACAGGGAGCTGAGAGGCAGATGCGCCCAGTGCTGCGCTCTCCTCCTCCCCAGCTTCAGCACCCAGCTGATAAATGGTTGTGGGACAGCTATAGCGCAGCCAAGGAGCGGGGAGCATCCTGGGATGTGTAGTCCTCCGCCGGCACCCCTTCCTTCTCCTCCAGAGGAAGGCTGAGATTGGACACTACAATACCCGGCATGCTCTGCGGAGGAACGACAGAGGGCTATGGTGGCTAGAGGGCGCTGCGGAGCTACTACAAGATAATCACATTACCTCCGACTTTCCAGGCCAATTAGTATCGTCATAGATACAGATATCATAGGAGACACCTGTGCAGGGGACAGTGCCAGGCTGGGGGAAGAGGGGAGCCATGATCACATCTCATCAAAGAAAATAGCATGATGATAATAATAACAAAAAAATACTTTTAATACTGCTAATAATAACAATATTACTGCTATTATCGATAATAAAAATACTTCCAATAATAATAAAAACAATAACAATGCTATTTCTACTACTACTAATAGTAATAAAAATAATAATAATACTAATATAAAAAATACTACTACTAATTCTAATAAAAATTCTGCTACTAATAATAATGATAATATTAATTGCAATACTACTGCTAATATCCCGCCTCAACCTAACCTCTGAATTATTACTTGCTCATTACAATGTATCCCCACGAAGCTACCTCTTCTTGTATCACTTGCCCCTCCCTTTGTAATTGTAAGCTCTCACGAGCAGGGCCCTCCATCTTGTCTTGATTTATATCAGGGGTCTCAAACTCAATTCACTAGGGGGAAACTGAACACATTTTTTCCTCCTATGGGGGCCAAATTTCATACTCCAAAATAAAATGTAACTGTTTACAGTACCAGTGTTTATAATGTCAGTATATGTGTTTGTGATGCTCTGTGGGGGGAATTTATCAAAACTGGAGCAGACAAAATCTGGAGCAAATTTGCACTGCAACCAATCAGCTTCTCTGTCTCATTTTCAAATCTTACCTGAGCAAAGTGAGGAAAGACGCTGATTGGTTGCCATGGGCAACGGTTCCAGATTCTGTTTGCTGCAGTTTTGATAAATTCCCCCCTGTGTGTGTTGTCAGGATTTCTGTGAGTGATGTCCGTATGAGTGTTAATGCTTTTGTGTGTCATATCAGTATATATACACATGTGTATCTGTGTGCAGTGTCTGTATATGTGTGTTTTGTTCTCCACAGGTTTCAATTTTTATAATAGAGGACCAACATGTTTACACATTCACTCACACACAGAAATACACCTGCCCCCCTCCCCACACAAACAGAAATACACACACACACAAATCGGCACAAAAAGAAATACGCACACCCCCCACAACCAGAAATACACACACTAATACACAAACAACAAGGCCCCAGTCCAACCTGTACGTTTAGGTGTGATTAGGGATTCCTGTGTCAGAAATGTGCTTTTTCCTGCAGCAGGAATCCCTCATTTGCCGTTTACAAGCGACAGCTGTCACCCATTCAAGCTACTGATCAGGTCACAGCCACTGCATGTAAACACCTGCACAGCGCATGTAATGGTATGTGATATGATTACATGTAGTTAGAAAACAATCACTCTCCGTGGATGCACGACCGATGCATCTAGGGATAGTGATTGATTCTTAACCACATGTAATCATATCACATACCATTACATGCGGTATACAGGTGTTTACATGCAGTGGCTGTGACCTGATCAGTAGCTTGAATGGGTGACAGCTGCCACTTGTAAATGGCAGATTAGGGATTCCTGCTGCAGGAAAACGTAAGTCCCTGACACAGGAATCTCTAATCACGCCTAAACTCACATACAGGTGTGAATGGGGCCCTAATACACACACACATTAATACAACCCCGCCCCCCCATTCCCCGCACACCCACATTCGCTTAAAATAAAGAGCCCCCTCACCTGCTTACTTACTAATCCATCCTTTCGCCCAGCACTCGATGAAGGATGCCAGAGTGCTAGCAGAAAGGAACTGAGCGCCATCACAGCCAGAAGCAGCCTATGTGATCTGCATCTGACAGAGATGCAGACCGTGTAGCTGCTCCTGCAAATCAGGTACACGGTCCGTGACTGCGTGCCTGACTTGTCAGCTGGCTGCGGGCCGCAATTGGCCTGCGGGCAGGTACTTTGAGACCCGTGATTTATATAGTAATTATTATTATTATTATACAGGATTTATATAGCGCCAATAATTTGTACAGCGCTTTAAAATATAAGGAAGATATTACAATCACAACACAATTCCCTGAGGGCTTACAATCTAATTGTAATGTCTTTCTTATATTTGAAAGCACTGCACAAACTGTTGGCACTATATACCGTACATCCTGTATAAAAAGAATAATAATATACTACTACTAGTAATAATAATAGTAATATTAAGAACAATACTATTAATAAATAATACTAACAATGATAATAAAAATAATAAAAGTTCTTTTGTTGAATTTTATTTTGCTTATTAGAAAAGAACAAGTATATCACATGTATGTTTTTTTATTACATACTGGAAAATGTGCTATACAAATCTTTTTGGTCGGGTATTTATAAATATATTTAATCGCCCAAGGAAAAAAAAAATCTACAGCTCAGGTGTGACCATTGCAGCAAAGTACTTCATCACCACTGCTGGAAAAGGCATTCAAGTCACAGCAGTGTTACAGAACAAGCAACTAGTTTTCAGTTGGAAATGCGGTAGGGCAGATAAGGTATAATTACAGAAACAAAAAGCTGTATATAAAAATGTTAATATCAGGGTATAAATCATTTCTGTTCATCAGCGTAGGATGTTAGTGCTGACCATATCTTTATGGTGTATCTAATCAGATCGGAGCTGTAGGAAATAGCTGTTATTATTTTTTAAATGTCCCATACTGTTGTTGAAATCTATAATAGTTGTGTTTCTGGAATCCGTTCTTTGGTGAATGGGAAGTCATGTATCTAAAATATGACACATTGGAATTTGAATGAATACATTATGAATTAAAAAATTTGTAAAACTCTATTGTAGTGGTTTACAAATTAGGATCAAACGTATAATACTCATCACATTCTCAAACAATTCATCCCCACACAGCTAGCTCCTCATGTATAATTTCCCACTCCTGTTTCAGATTGTAAGCCCTCAGGGGCAGGGCCCTCCTTACCATCCTGTCTTGAATTGTATTGTAATTGTAATGTCTTCCTTACAATGTAAAGCGCTGCACAAACTGTTGGCGCTATATAAATACTATGTTATAATAATAATAATACTAAATGCAGTAATAATCACACTATTGTCATTAAAAGACGGCTCAAAGCCAGTTTCTTTATGGATGACAATGACATAAATGGGGTGTATTTGCAGAGCCATGCGAAACTGCATGAACATTTGTTCTGTGCAATGGGAGCAAAAATTAATGTTATTAGTATATTTTCTTTTCAGGTTGAATGCAATCAATTCATATTATTAGAGTGAATTAGGAAAATACGGCATTTTGGCCACTAGATGGTGCTGAGCATCTTAGGAAACAAGTATTTATTTTCCTGGGATCCTTGGCTCCTTCTAGTGGCCATAATGCCGTATTTTTCTCATTCACTCCAATCTTATGAATCAATAGAGAACTATGGCTCAACCTTTTTTTGCCATAGCTCTCTTTAGGGTCACAGGAGCCAGGGGTGTCCCGAGGCTGGATGTCAACCAGAGCGGGTACCCGGTGACACCTCGCCGTGACGACATCGCGCTTGCGCGTGACATCACCAGGCACGTGCACAATGATGTCACAATTATATCCTCATGCATGCGCGGCCATCTTGTTGATGCCTGCCGGCAGCCATCTTGCTGATGGACGCCGGCAGAGAGAGGAGAAGACGTTCACCCAGCGGGACCCCGCCGGTTCCCTTCCTCTCTCCTGACCGAGTGCCCAACTTTTCAGAGGGGGTGACAACAAAATGACTATCAGTTATTTTGGTGTCACCCCTCAAATGGTGTCACCCAGTTGCGGGCCTTGTGACACCACTGACAGGAGGACATATTTTATTGTCCTTCTGTGACCCAAAACTCAACATATAGCAGGGCTAACGGTCACTACTCTCTGCAGGGAGAAGATCGGTAACTCAGCGATCTGTGGTATGTTCGAAAAAAACAAAGCGCTAAGGGTAAATATATGTGCAAAAGGTGAACAATATGTTTTCTGGCAAGGCCAGTCTAAAACCTAATAAAGTGTGTGAAACAGAACTCACTACAAATAAACAAAAACACTCTAACCATGGTGCACTAGACAATTATAACAAAAAAATCCATTCCAATGAATTAAATAGACGAAAAGGTATTTAAAAACATAAAAAAAGGGTCCAATGAGAAGGAAAGTGTCCAATAGGAAAAAAATCCAGGTGAGCGGTGGATTCCGTGTGCAAATATACAAATGTGCAAAAATAGCAGTGTACTTGAAGTTGATCCGACAGTCTGCTCCCCAGGCTCCAGCTCTGGGACTCGCAGAGAACACGTCTGTGCTAAAGCCTAATCACGGTATCACTTACTAGGAGCTTCTTAACAACTTCCTTTTGGTAAGTACCCACCCGAGAGGGGCAGTTCGGATCAACTTCAAGTACACTGCTATTTTTGCACATTTGTATATTTGCACACGGAATCCACCGCTCACCTGGATTTTTTTCCTATTGGACACTTTCCTTCTCATTGGACACTTTTTTGATGTTTTTAAATACCTTTTCGTCTATTTAATTCATTGGAATGGATTTTTTTGTTATAATTGTCTAGTGCACCATGGTTAGAGTGTTTTTGTTTATTTGTAGTGAGTTCTGTTTCACACACTTTATTAGGTTTTAGACTGGCCTTGCCAGAAAACATATTGTTCACCTTTTGCACATATATTTACCCTTAGCGCTTTGTTTTTTTCGATCATACTAGGTTT